TATTTGCTGATTTATTTTATTGTCTGTCTTCTCCTCTGTTATAATATAAGGAACTTGTCTGTCTTATTCAGCACTACTGTATATCTCCATGCTTAAGAACAGTGCCTGAGGCCTAGTAGACATTTCATAACTCTCTTTGTTAAATGAATGAACAAATGAACCAGTTATAATTCTGAAAGTCATTCTTAGCTGAGCATGATACCATGATAATAATTACTGCAGAGTGTAGTAATATAATTATCATTTGATTGAGAGTAATAATATAGTCTAACCTTAATTCAGGTGATTTAGAACACCCAGGCCCATTACCACCTTCCCTCAAAAAAAGGGTTGAATAACACAGATTTGAACTTTAGTGAAGATACTGTTTGCAGTTGTTGCTGACCTTTCTTATATTTTTATCCAACAGTTACTCAGTTTTCCTCTTTGTATATAAAACTTCCCTTTGTATATAAAATTTACCAGCGTGGCTGGTAAATTAGTCTCATAAAACTACCCACGCTGTACAATGAATCTTTATTTTAAGTATATAAATGAGTAGGAGTTCAGTATATAGTAATTACCCAAGTTAATAGTATTCATTAAATAGGTAGTTATTAAGAAGTTGAAATTTGGCCAGGATGTTCAGAGTGGCATTTTTACTTTTAGATAGTGAAAACAAGTTCTTTTGTCATCACAGATAATCATAATGTTGAGATTAATCTTATTAAGAATAGGTCTAGATACACTATTAGCAAGATGGTGATTTGTCAGCTTTTTCCTGCAGCACTGGTTCAGGTCTGATTCAACTAGCAAATAAATCACTGCACTGCTCCCCACCTTGCTTGTGTTTTCCCTGAAGGTCTTCTCTGATTACTTGCTAGCCTGACTCTGCTTCAGTTATAAAATCTGACAAAAAATCACAGTTTGGTGGCTTTCATCAACAAATCAACAAACGACAAGTGCTGGCGAGGATGCAGAGAAAAAAGAACCCTCCTTTGCTGCTGGTGGGAATGCAGACTGGTGTAGCCACTGTGGAAAACAGTGTGGAGTTTCCTAAAAAAATTAAAAATGAAACTCCCATTTGACCCAGGGATCCCACTTCTAGGAATATATCCCTCCCAAGAAGCCAGAAACACCAGTCAAAAAAGATATATGCACCCCTACGTTTTTAGCAGCACAATTTACAATAGCTAAGATTTGAAACAGCCTTAGTGCCCGTCAGCAGATGAGTGAATTAAAACCTGTGATTACATCTACACAATGGAATACTACGCTACTATAAAAAGAAGGAACTTTTACCATTTGCAACAGCAGGGATGGAACTGGAGAGCATTATGAAAAGAGAAATAAGCCAACTGGAGAAAGATAAATACCACATGATCTCACTTACAATATATGTGGGATATAATGATCAACATAAACTAATGAACAAAAATAGGTCCAGAGACAAATGGCAGGGGGCCAGGGAGGATGGTTAGAGATCAATCAAAGGACTTAAATGCATGCATATTAGCATAACCAATGGACACAGACACTGGGGGGGTAGAGGCTTGCCCTTGGGGGTGGGAGTGTTTGGGAGGGTCAAGTGGGAGAAAAAGAGACATATATAATACTTTAAACAAACAAACAAACAAATAAACAAAAATCACAGTTTGGGATCTGCTCCAGGCTAGGCATGAAAACATCTTTTTTAATCTATTATATCTAACTTACTACTGCTGAAACATCCTTCTTGATAGCCTATTTCAATCAGAGTACGGAAATTCTCTTTGAGTAAAGTCACTGTGGTGTCTGTTTTTTCTCCCCAAGCCAGTGGCAATGTCTTCAGTCTCCTTAACTTCATTTGATACTTTTAGTTTTGCTCCTTTGTCTATCACTTTACTTTTATTAGTGCCAAGTACAATAAGAATCCATTAAAAACCAAGTAGAAACTTGCTCACCTACTCTCCATATCCCTTCACTCCTCTGTGCTCCAGAGCTTTATCTCAAGGTCTTAAGCAGAATGCTGCACTGTAGAGAAAAAAACTAGAACAAAACAGAAGAAATACTGAAAGACAAAGTAAGTGGTGTAGGAGAGGTGAGAAGGCAGAAAGTGATGGAGTAGGAACTGAAACTAGACTGATTAAAGGTGAAGAGACAGGGAAATTTCAGGAGAAATATGATAAATATTTAACACTAGAGGCCTGGTGCATGAAATTCTTGCACAGAGATGGGGAGAGGGGGATCCCTCAGCCCAATTTGCACTCTCTTATTTGCCCTCTGGGGTTGTCCTACTGACAGCAGTTGGATATTGTAGTGCTGCCGCATAGATGGGAGAGGCTCCCACTACCGCTGCTGTACTTGCCAGCTGTGAGCCCAACTTCTGGCTAAGCTGTGAGAGCATACTGACCACCAGGGGGCAGCTCCTGCATTGAGTGTCTGCAACCTGGTGGTCAATGCATGCCATAGCAACTAGTTGGTTTACCATTGGGCCAAAACTGGCTCTCCAACATACCTGGAAGGGTCCTGGATTGTGAGAGGGTGCAGGCCGTCCAAAGGGACCCTGCCAGTGCATGATTGGAGCCAGGGAGGGATGCAGGAAGTTGGCCAGCCAGGAGCGACCACGGGAGGGCTCCAGGGCATGTCTGGCCTGTCTCACTCAGTTCCAATCAGCTGGACCCCAGCAGTAAGCTAATCTACCGGTTGGAGCATCTGCTCCCTGGTAATCAGTGCACATCACAGCGATTGGTCAACCTGTCAACTGTCTGCTCCCTGGTGGTCCGTACACATCATAATGACTGGTTGACCAGTTGACTGCTTGCCCCCTGATGATCAGTGCACACCATAACGAGTGGTTGAGCAACCTTAGCAGCATATCATTAGCATATTATGTTTTCATTGGTTGAACGGCTGACTGGATGACTGGACACTTAGCATACTAGGCTTTTATTATATAGGATGGCTAAAAGGAGAAGTGGCTAAATACTTTGAAAAGAAAAACAAAATACTGTTCTTCAAAGAGGGTTATTTAGTTGGTTATGACCTTGGAGGTCACTTTGGAAGAAGAGTTTAGAATGGTATAGACTTGCAGTAGTATGTAAATACTTAAGACTATTCTCCAGATCAGTCTGAAGAGCCGCTTTAACCTTATTGACATCATTTGTTTGCTTAGCACTTTTTTTTTCTATAGAGGGAAGGTAAATCTCAGTTCAGCATCTTTTGAATTATTGTGAATTGTAAGTCAGCCACAGTTTTATTAATGAGACTTTAACATATTGCATATTGCCTTAGTTGAATGTTGATGAAATGGAGAAAATACATATGCATCAAGTAAATAGCCTTCAATATTCTTTTAGTTGGGGATTAAAGAAAGATTCTGAGTCTTTTAGAGATTTTAGCAATGGGTGTTGTTAAAAGTCTCAACAATAACCCACCTGAATTTACTTCACAATAAAGCTGGAAAATAAAATGCAAAGTCCTACATAGATAGTTAAACCATATCTCTTAGTTTTGACTGGCAATCTTTAGCAACTCCTGAGTTTACCCAAGACAATAGAAAGGGCAAGAATTAGTGGTCACTGTTGAAAAATGGTTGTCCAGTATGAGAGTAGTGAACAGGGTGGTTTGGAAGTTGATATTGTAGTGAATGTTCTGAGGAAAAATAAGCAATTGGGAGAGAGAGAGAGAGACGGAGAGAGAGAGAGAGAGATCTACAGAACTTTGAGTTTTTGGAGGTCAAGGAGTTTTAATGATTGGATTTGAGGGGTTTCTTTAGTGTGTAAAACTTGACATTCTCCAATGTCCAAGTTTTTAAATCAGAATCCCGATATGAAGGATGACTCTCTTTTCCTTTCAAATTCTTCTGGTTGTTTTGTTGTTGTTTTAATGCCTTGTATAAATTGGACAGTTAAATTAAGGAAATTAGCTAGTATAATAGAGTTACCTGTGACCTCTTGCTGCATGGGACAACATTCAATCCACTGACCCATACCAGCGGGGCAAATTTTTAAAATATATTTGCAAGGACTTTTTTATATTAACTAATCTTTTGTATACTTTTAATTCTATTAAATTAAAGGAGTAATTAGCTTTTTAAAAATTTTATTTTACCTATATCACATCTCTAATTTTATCTTTTTTATCAACAAACTTATGATATCTGCTCTTAACTCTTTAAAGTTTTCTGGTAATTACGATGTTTTCTCTAATTATTTTGATTTAGCAATTTTTTAATTTATTGAATTGTTAATAAAAATGAATTTTTAGGAATAACAGGTCTCTAATAGAAAACAGATTTGCCTAGAATTTTCCTCTGCTGCAGTGCTGCCTGCTTCATCATGTTGTAAGAAATAAGGCGAGTTCCCAAATTCAGGGGTCTTGGTAGGGCACAAAACATACTTGGGAGCCAAACAGCAAGGCAAATGTTTTTATTCTTGCAGGAGGGTGTGCACACACATAGTATGGAAGCACTCGCACACTGAGCAGGTGGTCTGCCCAGCTTTTTAATCCTGATGCCCATGACCTGTTCCTCACTCTTCATTGGAGCACATGCCCACAGTCTTTCATGATTGGTTAATTCAAAGGGAGGGATTGGCCTTTGCCATTTCAAGATGGCGGCCTCCAGGGGACCTGCAAGTCATGCGGCTGACATGGTAGCTGCCAAGTCACATAAGCCAAAATGGCTTCTGAGTGAACTTTTCTTTGACAAAAAAGATGATTTATTTTCACAATGTGTGTTCGTACTACCTTCCCTCACTCCATGTGAATGTCTGCACTGTACAGCATTGTGAGTGATTTCATTGTGCAATGCATTTTTCAGGTCTTCTTTCCCTCTTTTCTGACTGTGGTGATAGCTTTCTTGATGATGAATTAGTAGTTAACTATACTTTTCTTAGTTAGAAAGCTGTGTTTTAAGCTCTGTAATTGTCCAACTACAATTGTGATTGGTTTTAAATGCCTACATGGAAAGTAGTTTGCTATCATTGAATTTCATTTTCTTTAAATTACATGTAAGTAATGAGTGTGTCCCCCTATTTTAGGTACGCTTTGTGAAGAATATTACTTCTTGGAAAGAGATGAAACCCGGATTTTATCATGGACACATTTCTTATTTGGACTTTGCAAAGTAAGTTATACCTAAACTGACACTCCAAAGAATACTTTGTACTTTAGCAATCTAAAGAAGGAATGAGTTTATTAAATTGTTAGGATTTCGACTAAAAAAAAAAAGTATTGGCTTGCCTTTGCCACTTTTAGTTATGTAACTTAAATATACCTTCTAGTGTTTTACTGCCCTCTAGTGTTCATAAATTGATAATTGTGGATATTAATTTCAGAAATTTGAGGTCGATTAAATTTAGGTAATACTCTTTGAAGTTATTTATCATAATTACATTTAGGTTTCTTGTACAACCAAATAAAACTATTTTAGGAAACACCAAGTTTTAACCTAGAGGCCAATCAGATTATGGATTACCATTGGCTAAGAACTAGAAAGCAGAGAAGCCACCACTCAGTTAATGATGCCCAGTGCTTCTACTGCTCAGCCAGGACCAGTGAGTATGCACATTCTCTGTGGATGCCTCGTTTTCACTTTAAAATTAGGATGTGTTCAAAGGAGACTTTTTAAAATATAGTGATTTTCCTTTATTTTCTTTATAGCTAATTGCCTGAAACTGGAGATAAATAACACTCATTTTCCATATTTTTTAGAAGAATGTGATCAAGTATTTCTATTATAATTCTCTCTAGAAAATTTTATGAAACTACAGGCATACTTACTTCATGTGGCTCCCAGTGGAGTCTGTGCTACATTAAGTACTAATTAGAAAACTGGTCAAAAGGAATATTCTAAACACAGACAGCTTGTGAATCCATTTGAATGTTTTTTAGTATTTATCATTATAGTAATACCCCGAATCCAAGTCTTTTCCCTATGAGACCCTGCACTAACATTAAACACATTAAAAATATATTTAAGAAATTATTTAAGCTTAGACATGTTTACTCAGTTTTTTCATTAGCAGTTATGATTTCAAAGTAAAATATTTGTCAACTTTAAAGAGCATTCTGTATAAAATTTGAAAATTAAATTGATATCCAGAAAAAATAGAATGAAATGTTATTGATTCAGATTGATAATAAATCTTAACTTTTTTGAAAAGCATGTAAACAAAAAGGAATCTTCCAAATATTATATACACAAAGCAATATATTCTTATTTCTAGTTGCTCTCACTGCATTCAAGATTTTCAATCAAATTATAGCTTTAAAGTTAGATATACATTTTTCTTTATCTTTTTTAATCGAATTTATTGGGGCGACACTGATTAACAAAATTATACAGGTGCACAATTCTAAAACACATCATCTGTACATTGTATTGTGTGTTCACCATCCCAAGTCAAGTCTCCATCCATCACTATTTATCCCCCATATCTTCCTCTACCTCCTCCTTTTTCCTTCCCTCATAGATGTGCATTTTTCTATAAATAATTCATATTGCAATATTGAAAACATTTTATAGGCAGCTTTAAAATAAACTAATTATTTTTTCTTTGCAGAGGCATTGAACCAATATCATAAACTTTATTCATATGCATATTCCCCCTCAGGGCTGCATTATCCTTCAATTGAATGTTTGTTACCCTTTCACCTAAATGATTTATTTTTTCCACATTCGGTGCTTGGTTTCTAATATTTGAGATTTTCATTATTAAAATAATGTATTGCATACTTTTGCTTTTGGCAAAAGTCTTGTACTAAGAACGAAGCTCTGGTATATGTTGGAGTTCTTGCAGTTGAAAAAGTATAAAGCTTGTTGAAAAAATTAATCTTATTTATAAATACAAAAATGAACATTTAGAGTTTGAATATTTTCATAATGGGTTTCATGTTATTGGAAGTGAAAAGTATTGTGAGAATTTTTAATAGACTTTTATAAGATTTTAAACAAATACCTAAAATAACTAGAGAAAATACATTTTGATATATGCAGTCAGGAACTATTGTAGATATAACTAGTATCTTTTAATGTAATTTTTAGTTTGATCGTCATACTCATCATGGATGAGTAAAGAAGGAGAAAGGAGAAAGAAATGTCATCATACCAATTTTTAAAACACTTCATTCTTCAAAATATATTTTTGACTGGCATAGTTTTTTGTGGACTCCATTAAAATAATTGCCTTTAGGAGTAAATGGCCCAATTTGGTGAAGTAAATAGTTAATCGCATATCTCTTCAATTGCCTTAGAAGAGATGCTAAAAAGAGTGTAAACCCAGGAAACTCGGGAAATAAGATAGGGAAATAAAAAATGAGAAGTACTTTCTCATTTAGACTGATTCCTAGGAAGCACACATTTTATTTGCAGGCCTGTTTCTGCCCAAGCCAGGTTTTAGTAATATTTATCTGGCTTTATTCAGAACTTTAGAATAATAACAAAAATATCTTCTTGTTACATATTTATATTCCTTTCCTACCTACTTCTTTCTCTCCTAATGCTAGGCTTTAATTTTTTTTAATTTATTGATTTTTAGAGAGATAGGAACATTGATTTGTTCCACTTATTTATGGATTCATTGGTTGTTCCTTGTATGTGCCTTGGCTGGGGATCAAACACACAACCTTGGGTATTGGGGATGATGCTCTAACCTAGGGGTGTCGAACTCAATCAGAGAAGGGGCCAAAATCTAAAATCCAGCCTAAATCGCGGGCCGAATGGTTTACTGAACAGTCATAAACTGACAATGTTAACCAGAAATGTGAATTTAAAATGAGTGGAACAATCTTTTCCTTAACAGTGCTGTTAACCAACTCACATGCTATCAAGCAAAACAGTAATATTGGTATCAAGCAAAACAGTAATATTGGAATGTACCTAAAATGCTCATTGTTTTGTTTTCTGGCTAGATGTCTGACACCGTTTTCCCCGGATCAATGAGTCAATGTTCGGTTTTATTTCTTGGGCTGTAGCAACCCGCAAAACAGCATGGAGGTTGTCATCGGTAATGCGTGATCTGTGCTTGTTTTTGTTCAGATTCATTATTGAAAACATCTGTTCACAAAGATAGGTGCTCCCGAACATGGATAGAATACGGGCAGCATGAAGTCGGAGCTCTGGCATTGAGTCAGGGGGCAGTAGAGGGTAGAAGTCCTCAATTTCAACATCCTGAAACCTTGATTTCAGGCCACTGTCAGACTGAAGCTCGATTATCTCCATCTGAAGGTGATGGGGCACATTGTTGACATCAGCTGTAAAAGGATTGGCAAAGATGTCAAAGCCCGAGTGCTGTGTTCTAAAGTCAGAGAAGCGCCGCTCAAATTCACTTAGTAAACGGCTATCTTTGATAGCCAGCCGACTGCAAGGAAAAGTACCAGAAATAGTGGTTGAGATACTCAAACAAACGGGAAAGTGGGCAAGATTGTCCTGTTCCAGTTGGGACTTCCATAGTTGAAGTTTACGCTGGAATGCTGTGATCATGTCAGACATCTTCGTGATGACTTGTTTGCGTCCCTGCAGCTTCAGATTCAGTTGGGTGAGATGCTCGCATATGTCACACATCATAGCAAAATCACATAGCCAGGCGGGATCCGACAGTTCAGGCAAGGGCTTTCCTTTACTTTCCATAAAAAGAGCAATTTGTTCTCTGAGCTCAAAAAATCTTTTGAGGACTGGGCTCTTGCTCAGCCATCTTACTTCTGTGTGGTATGGCACGTCTCCATGCTCTGCACCCACCTCCTGTAAAAACTGCTGGAACTGGCGATGATTCAGGCCACGTGCCCGTATAAAGTTAATAGTTTTAATGACTGTGGTCATTATGTCATTCATGTCCAGAACTTTTCCACACATAGCCTCTTGGTGGATAATGCAATGATAAGTAATCAAGGGTGGGTGGCAGTGACTTTTTTGCATTCTTTCCTTCATTAGTCCAACCAAGCCTTTCTTTTCTCCGCACATTGAAGGTGCGCCATCGGTAGTTAGCCCCACCAACTTTTCCCAGGGTAATTTAAAATTATTTATAGATTTCTCCACAGCCTCAAATATATCTCTACCAGTCGTCATCCCATGCATGGCAGCTACATCCAAAAGTTCCTCAGTGACAGAGAGGTCGGTCTTCATAGCACATATAAAGATGGACAGCTGTGCTGTATCAGTGTTGTCTGTGCTTTCATCGATAGCAAGTGAAAAAGCGAGATAACTGCATGCCTGTTCGGCCAGCTGTGATGATAGATTTCCTGAGAGTTCTTGAACTCTATCTGCAATGGTGTTTCTTGACAAACTGATATTTTGAAAACTCTGAATCTGGTCTGGGCATACTTGCTCACACACTTTTAGCATGCATTGCTTCAAAAAGGCACCCTCTGAAAAACACCTTGAAGTACGGGCAATTTCTTCAGCCACTATAAAGCTTGCTTTCACTGCTGCATCATTTTTCGCTGTAGCCTTTGTAAACATTTGCTGCTGTGATTGTAGTTTGCCTTTTAGTTCTTTAACAATTTTATGCTTTTCTTCCAAAGTATATTTGCCATATTTAACATTATGTTTGGTGTCAAAATGACGACGTATATTGTACTCTTTCATCACCGACACTGTCTCATAACACAATATACACACTGGTTTGCCCTCTCTAAGCACAAATATGTATTCATTTTCCCATTTGTCATTAAATTGTCTGCCTTCACCGTCAACTTTTCTTTTCCTGGACATTTTGGGATCAATATTGGCAGTAAAAGATGTAGTTTATTGGAAATCTGCGTTAGAAGGAAAAAGTTGAAAACTGCACAGGGATAGCTTGGTTTGGCAGATGGAGTGGAGAAAAAAAAAGTCAGTCAATAAATGCCTGGCTGGGTACAGATAGCAGATTCTGTTGCGATTTTTATGCCTGCACTTTATGCCAGGAACTGGCAGCTTCTGCTGTGTATTTTTTATGCCCGTCCACTCACTCTCTCCTCTGCTCTGCCTCCTGCACAACCACATCGGATGCCGGACTATAGGTCACGCCTCCTGAATCTCCAGTGACTTGTTATCTATGCGCATACGTAATAGATAGCAAGTACGGCGGCGAGATCACAAGCCTCCTATGTCACCGCGCGTCATTGTGATGGAACGCAGCGGAGTACAGTGATGACAGCGCGGTGCGGGCCACATTGCAAGGCCTGGCGGGCCGGATTTGGCCCGCGGGCCTTGTGTTTGACATGTGTGCTCTAACCAATTGAGCTACTCAGGCAGGGCTCCTAATCCCATTCTTTTGACATTGTTTCTGTAAATGTTGATTGATTAATATGTAGCTTATAGATAAACAACATGTTTGTATAGGAATTCTAGGAACTAACTTCAAAAGATATAGACTCTGGCCTTCAGTTTGGCCTTTTTTTTTTTTTTTTTTTTTGTCAGGTAGCTGAACTTGGGTCTCAGTTACAATATATTGTACAATTATATAATATTGTACAATATACTGTAATGATCACCAGGGGGTAGACACTCAATGCAGGGAGCACCGCTTAGCTGACCAACCCGTTCTGGAGGCCCACCAGCCCAGCAGCAGCCTCTCACTCCTTCAGTATTTACCAATCTCTAGAGTAGGGGTGTCGAACTCAATCAGAGAAGGGGCCAAAATCTAAAATCCAGCCTAAATCGCGGGCCGAATGGTTTACTGAACAGTCATAAACTGTCATTGTGATGGAAACGCAGCGGAGTGCAGTGATGACAGCGCGGTGCGGGCCACATTGCAAGGCCTGGCGGGACGGATTTGGCCCGCGGGCCTTGTGTTTGACACATGTGCTCTAGAGAATGGGCCAGTCACTGATGGATTGGCACCACTGGCACGATCCCCATAGCACTTCCAGCCTCTTGGAATTCAGCCTCGGGCACCATGGCCGCTTCTCCTCCCTAGATGCTTTGCAAGGAAGAAATGTTATAAAAGCAGCTGCTAGATGGTTCCCACCAACCAATGCGAATGTCAGCAGGATGGATCCAGATCCCTGGCTGGCAAGGGCATCCCACTGCCTGCCCAGAGGGCCAGTTGTATCCCGAACTCCCCCCTCCCCCTTGCATTAGGATGGGCACCAGACGCAGGGCCCACGGGCTACCCTGAAGGACGAATTCGTGCACCAGGCCTCTAGTTAACTGTAGGTGTTATGCTGTGCTTTAGGTCCCATATTGTAACACTTCTCTGCTAACTCAGTCAGGACTGCATCCTAATTCTTATAATGGCCTACAAGACCAACATGATCTGCTCTTCCCTGCCCCACCCTCACCTCTCTAACTCATGCTTTGTTAATATCCCCTTCCCATTCTGCTGCATCCAGATTGATCTTTCTAATCCTCAAAAATGCCTGGCACTTAGCTGCTTCAGGACTTTCATACTTGGAAGTCTCATGTTCCTGGAACACTTTCCTCCAGATATCTACATAGCTCCTTCTCAGTGATGCCTTCCTGAAAAAAACAATTTTAAATTGTCCTCTCCTCACCTCTCCTGGCAGCCCTTATTCCCTTTCACTTCATTATTTTTCTCTTGTACTTTTTGCCATTTGACATATTTGCTTATTTGTTTATATTCTGTCTCTTCCAGGTAGAATGTTAGCATCAGAGGACAAGGATTTTTTTTTTTTTTTTTTTACTGCTATATCCCTAGTATTAGAATAGTGCATGGCAAACCTGTGGTGCATTAAGAAAGCATTTTTGAGTGAATTAATGTAATAGGAAAATAAGGAAGGCATTCTAGTTAAGAAAGACAATGAGCAGAGACATGTAAGAAGAAATAGGAATCAGTATAATAAGAAATAGTAATGGAGGGGTAAGAAGAGGCAGGCCTAAATTTTAACAGATAGATGGTCTCTTATCCTATATAATAAAAGCATAATATGCTAAGTGTTTGTTTGTCCTGTTGTCCGTTCAACCAATCAAAGTGTAATACACTAATGAGATGCTAAGGCTGCTCAACCACTCACTATGACGTGCTCTGACCACCAGGGGACAGACAGTTGACTGGTCTACCAGTTGCTGTGATGTGCACTGACCACCAAGGGTCAGACACTCTGACAGGTCTGGCTGATCGGGAATAATTCAGGCTAGACGTGCCCTAGAGCCCTCCTGCAATCCCTCCCTGGCTGCCTACCTCCTGTGTCCCTCCCCAGCCCCAATCGTGCACCAGGGGGGTCTCTGTGCCTGGCCTGTTCTCTCTCACAATCCAGGACACCTTGGAGGATGTTGGAGAGCCGGTTTTGGCCTGCTCAGGTAAGCCAGGCCAAGGGACCCCACTGGTGCATGAATTCATGCATCGGGCCTCTAGTTTGAAAATAAAGTTAGATCAGTAAGGTGCTACTTAAGTCAAAAGTCAAACAGATATTATTAACAGCTAAGCAAAGGAGTTTGGGAATGATGTCAATATAAACCATAGAGTTGTTTCAGATTTCTAAGAAGAGTGATCTAACAAATGGTGTTTTAGGAATATTGGCTGAGAATTGGTATGGTAGGTAGATTGAAAGAGAGAGAGACTGGATGTAAGAAAACCAACTAGGTTAATGTAGTAATCTAAGCAAGAGACCTAGGGAGAGGGCAGCGGTGAAGAGAAAGGGAGTCATCAAGGAAGAAAAGTTAAAATCTGTGATAAAGCCTACAAAAGAGAAGATTAGAAGGGCTTGGTAACTGCACTAAATGAAGAATAAGGAAAATGAAGAGTCAAGATAACACTAAGTTATCAAGACTGTCGATGATGATATTATAATAGGGAGCCAGCTGGACAATTCTAGGTTCTGCAAAGGTTGCTAACATAAAAGCCTTGTGTTCCTTCAACTTATTCCATGAGGAAACAATGCTAAAAACATAATATCTTTCACTTCTATTTTATCTTTAAAATCAGCAGCACTAGAAAGCAAACTCTAATGGTCGTACTTGTGTGGACTTATGCTGAATCCATTCATATAATTTATCTAGTATGGTGGGCCAGAAATGAGGAATCATTGCTGCAATGAAATTAAAATGTTTTATGTAACTTTGTAAACTTTTAAATTATTTTTTATTTAATTTTTCCTTTCCTTTATTTTCAGCTATGATTTTTAAATTCTTATTTACTTTATTGTAATAAATCTTTAAAATATTTTTAATCTCCACATATTTATATTCATGTTCTTTTTTTCATATGAAATCAATACTTTAAATGTTTAATTTCAGCACATTCCTAAATATAATAATAATGTTGATTTCACCTTTTAAATTTTGTTCTATTTCAGATTTGGTGTGAAAAAGAAGCCAATTTACATTAATGTCATAAGGGATCCTATTGAGAGGCTAGTTTCTTACTATTACTTTCTGAGATTTGGAGATGATTATAGACCAGGATTAAGAAGACGAAAACAAGGAGACAAAAAGGTAATATTTTAGTCTTACGACTTCTGTAAAGGTAATTGTTTATAAAATGCAATGAACAGTGTGCTTTTAAAGTTTATTGATGCTAGATATTTGACATAATAAAACAGTTAACATCTGACAATTTTTCTATTTGCTTATCGTAGAACATTTGAAAAGAGCCCAAAAGTATAAAGAAGCTAAAGTAAAACTACTTTATAATTGGTACTTTGGAGTACACATAATGCTTTTGTCATTACAGAAATAGTTTACTGACGTTCCAAGGCTGAATATTTGTTTTATTATAGTTATTGTATTAATAATATTTTATGAGACCATTAATAGTTATTCATTAATATGATGTATTTGTGTATATACTTTGGTTCTCTTAGTCTTAGTCTTTATGATCATCAGTTTAGGGACACTATTTTGCTAAAGCAGTTTTTTGTTTTGTTTTGTTTTGTTTTAGTTTTTTTAAAGTATATTTTATTGATTTTACACAGAGAGGAATTGAGAGGGACAGAGAGTTAGAAATGTCGATGAGAAAGAAACATCGACCAGCTGCCTCTTGCACACACCACACTGGGGATGTGCCCACAACCAAGGTACATGCCCTTGACCGGAATCGAACCTGGGACCCTTCAGTCCGCAGGCCGACACTCTATCCACTGAGCCAAACTGGTCCCAGCTGTTTTGTTTTGTTTAAAACAAGGACAGAATTATGGCTTAGTGTTCTTACTTAGCAGGTTCGGTATTGGGTTATGTACTATTTATGTGCATCCTCCAGGGGAAAACCAGGCTTGTTTTTCTAAAAAAACAAAAACAAAAACCAGGTTGATTTGTCAACTTTTCTGGTGGATCACCTTTACTGGAACCTCATTGCTCGGATTGGCCAAGGCATAGGAGACACAGTCTGACATAACCCCAGACCTGCCTCATTTTCTTTCAGGCATCCAGCTCTTCAGCCACATGAAATATCACTGTCCTCCATACTATTGCATTACCTTAATTCTCATGAAGACAGGATCATTGACAAATGCTTTCTGAAAGTCGAAAATTCCTTTGTTTTGTGATTGACAGATGGGCCTTTTTAGTCTTATAACATATTGAGACATACACATTTTTATTAATTTGGCTTATTCCTCATGACACAAATGTTGGTAACATTCTGGGACCCAATGATGTTTTATTGCAAATAATTCCTTAATATTAAGTCACATCTGTGATGTTAATGAGACTGCGTGGCATATACAGTCAAACCTTGGTTCTCTTCTCAAATGTCTCCTATCTGGAACAATTCGGTTCTCAACCAAGTTGTTAACAGAAAAAATATGTCCGGGTTGTAGAACAAAACATCAGTTTTCTGACCTGACAATTCTTTTCATACTGGTACCTCAGCATGACAGAAAACTTCTGTCTCAGACCACATATAAAGAAGAGAATGCTCTTGTTGCTGATGAAATAAAGGATTAACACAATTGTAAAACATAGAGAGGCCATCAGAAAGGCTAATGTTGCCCTTACTGGTTTCGCTCAGTGGATAGAGTGTTGGCGCCTAGTTCTATTCTGGCCAAGGGTATATGCCTGGGTTGTGGCCCCAATCCGCAGTCCCGGTGGGAGTGCATGCGGGAGGCAACCAATCAATGTATCGCTTTCTGTATCTCCCCTCTCATCCACTTTCTCTAAAAATCAATGGAAAAGTATCCTTGGGTGAGGATTAAAAAAAAAAGTGCTAATGTTGCTAAGGGTGTGAAAGAAAGAATGATCACGGGCAATTGAAGAGGTAGAAAAACTGTTGTTGATTAGGATAAACAAAAAGCAGTTAGCTGGGTGACAGCATTTTGGAGGCAGTGATATGTGAATAAACAAAGATGCTACATGCTACCCTGAAAGACATCCCTGAACCTACTACTGAAAGTGATTCATTTAAGGATAGTAGGGAATGGTTGGTAAATTTAAAGGGGAAAAAGTGCTTATTTATAGATTAGACAGTCCATTAGACATGTATTATATATAAGAAAGATTAAAATGGAATCATTTGGCCCTAGCCGATTTTGCTCAGTGGATAGAGCATTAGCCTTCGGACTGAAAGGTCCTTGGTTCGATTCCAGTTAAGGGCAGGTGCCCGGGTTGTGCACTTGATCCTCAATAGGGGGTGGGCAGGAGGCAGCCAGTCAATGATTCTTTCTCATCATTGATGTTTCTATCTCTCTCTCCCTGTCCATTCCTCTCTGAAGTCAATAAAAATTTGTTAAATAAAATGGAATCATTTGTAGGGATAGAACAAATTAATTAAATTTACATTATTTCTAATGAGAAAGAAACGATTCCATTTTCAAATTATTTCTTGGATGGCCTTCCAGAATTAATTAAGTCAGAGAACTGAGATTCCACCATAACATTTTTGAAAAGGCGGGGTTAACGTTTTGAAAATAGAAGATCAATGGGGATTAACAGGTGCTTATAAAGATACTAGAGGGCCAGTTCATGAAATTCATGTACACGGGGGTAGGGGGGGTCCCCTCAGCCCAGCCTGCACCCTCTCATAGTCTGGGAGCCCTCAGGGGATGTCCGATTGCCAGCTTAGGCCTGTAGTCAGACATCTTTAGCGCTGCCACCGAGGCGGGAGATGCTCTGATCACCACTGCTTCACTTGCCAGCTGTGAGCAAGGCTTCTGGCTGAGTGGCGCTCCCCCTGTGGGAGCACACTGACCACCAGGGGCAGCTCTTGTGAGCGTCTGTCACCTGGTGGTCAGTGCGTGACATAGCACTCATTCGTTTTACCATTGGGCCGAAACTGGCTCTCTGACATCCCCCAAGGGGTCCCAGATTGCGAGAGGGCACAGACCAAGCCGAGTGACCCACTGGTGCACGATTGATGCCAGAGAGAGACGCAGGAAGTTTGCCAACTGGGGAGGGACTGTGAGAGGGTCCCAGAGCCTGACCAGCCCATCTCACTCATTCCCGATCTACTGGACCCCAGCAGCAAGCTAGCCTACCAGTTGAAGCGTCTGTCCCCTGGTTGTCAGTGCACGTCATAGCAACTGGTTGACTGTCTGCCCCCTGGTGGTCATTGCACATCGTAGCAGAGGTTGAGCAGCTTTAGAATCTAATTACCATATTAGGCTTATTTGGTTGAACGTCTGACAGGACGACCTTACACTTAGCATATTAGGCTTTTATTATATAGTATAGGAAATAACTTGCAGTGGTTTCATTTCCATGAAAATGTATATTATTTGTACCTCAAGTAACAATTTGAAGTAGTAGTCCAGCACTCAAGTATTGAAGAACTATATAAGTAAATCAGCGTTCCTAAAACTCAGAACTTTTTTTACTCAAAAAAAGTTATTTAGGACCAGCAAAGAACTTTTGTTTATGTAGGATTATATCTACTGATATTTACCAATATCAGTAAATTCATCAACAAATGAGGACTTTAAAAATATTAAGTAGTTAAAAAATAACAGTAGGGAACTCATAATATGATAACCAAATTTTTTCATGCAAATAACCATTTTCAAAAAGTGTCAAAAGTGTGGCATCTTACATTTTTGCAAATTAAAAAAATATCTAGCTTAATATAAAGAGCTAGACTTTTATATCACTGCTAAAACAGTCAGTTTAATTTAACTAATTCTTTTGGCTGAAGTGTATAAAGAAAATCCAGCTTGTCCTAGCCAGTGTTGCTTTGTTGGTTGAGTGTTGTCCCAATGCACTGAAAGGTCACCAGTTTGATTCCCGGTTAGGGCACATGCCCAGGTTATGGGTTTCATCCCATGTCAGGGTACATGTGGGAGGCAACCCGATCTCCCTCATTCCCTCCCTCTCTTTCTCTCTCCTCACTTTCTCTCTCTCTAAAATCAATCAAAACATTTAAAAAAGGAAAAAGATCAAGCTTTACACATATAAAGTAATTGGAAAGGGAAGGATTTCAATAACCTTTTCAGAAAATCACAGATATCCCTCTTTAATACTACACTGAAACTTGACAAGTAGTAGCTTCTTGACATTGCTGAAGTGTAGATTCTGAAGCTCCAGCAGTGAACCATCATGCTCTGCTACATTAGCATCCATTGATATAATTACACTTTGAATAGATTTTTAATTGAGCATAATTTTGTAACATCATGTGGATGTTATGTGGATTTTTCAAATGCTGACACATTTAATTTACAATATCAAAAATTTATAGTATCACCACTGATCTCATCAAAGTCTTTAAGTATTGCAAACATTAAGCTCAAGTAATAGTTCATCAAGTATTCCAAAATTTTATTTCTTTGCTTGACAGCTTAACTTATATCACAGAATTTCTCAACCTCAACACTGTTGTTGTTTTGGGTGATAATTCTTGTGTGGGGATCTGCCTATAATTGTAGGATATTTTCCAGCATCTCTGACCTCCACCCAGTAACACCCTTTCTACATACACCCCAGTTGTGAGAACTAAAACTGTCTTCCAGCATTGCCAGTGTTGCCTGACAGCCAAAACAGCTCCAGCTGAGAACCACTGGGCTACTTACACTGTCAGGTGTTCGATTTCAAGTGGCAGACAGGCACACTTTGTTCATTTTGAGAAAATGTCCTCCAATTACCTAAGTTTGAATAACATAGTTTGTCTCCATGCCCTTCCTAATGACTTCCAAATAATATTAACTGCACTAATAAATCTCATACTCAAAGTGTGTAATTATTTTTATGATTTTAACTGTACTACCCTATCAGTTATTAAACACTTTTTATTAATTATTTTGTTAACAGAATAGTAAGGGGGTGTTATACTTATGGAAAGAGTAAGTAGTTATGTGGTCTAAGTAACAATTTAAAGAAGAATCAGGTTATGTGAAGAAGTACTCATTGGTCCCAGAGATCCCAGTTCCTGCCCCAGTTTGCTTTTTGTATTTCTTTAAGTTAACTAAGCTTGTCAACAGCTATAGGTATTATAATGAATTTAAAGTTACTACCTAAAATATATAATAATTCATATATGCTAATTTACATAATAAATATATAGTAAATAAGGTTGAAAGGAGGCCATACTTAGCACTACCTGATCTTACCATTGCCTACAGAATACTGCCTCCATAGTCCTCAGCAGTTCACCACTCCCTGGCAATGGTTTGCTTATCGAACATTCATTTTACTTTGCTGTCTCACAAAGGCATTTAAGAACTTACTGTTTGCTTAAAAAGTATTTTATATGTAAAAGGCACCACAAGAAAGCAATATATTACCTTTGCAGTTGACATACTTACAGGTTCAGTAGCTTTTCATTGTAGATGAGTTTTCTCTATCTCAGTAAAAGGTGTGTAATCCAGAGTTAGCCTTGGCTGGTCTTTTTCCCAGGTTTCTGGTTGTACCTTACGTGGTTTCTTCCTTTAGAAAGAGAAAACAGAGGGAAGATTCTGTTGTAATGGAGTTGAAGAAAGAGATAAAATTGGACGTTATTTTTAGTCATGTATGAGTAAATGGAGGTATCCACTAGAAATTGTATTTGAACCTCAAAATATAAGCCTGAACTAAATCATAGATTTGAGAGACACCAACATTAGGTGGGAGTTGAAACAAAGAGATTGAATGAAATTGCACGTGGAGACATATCAAGTTTGAAAAGAGGACCAGGTGAAACAGGAAGGAGAAAAAGAGAGGATGCAGATATGCCAACATTTAAAGAGCAGGCAGGTAAAGAGCAGCATACCCAGGAGACTAATGTCAGAGAATCAGAAGACAAACCTGGCAAGCCCTTGAAATGGCGAGGAAAATAATTTCAATTACAAAGAGGTTAGTGGAATGGGGATTCAAATCTGTCCCTTTGATTTGTCAATGCAAGTCTATTCGGGATGTCAGAGAAAGGAGTTCAGGTGGAATCTAAAATGTTGGGAAGCCACTGAGACTGACCTTGAGGAAGGACTTCTCTTGAAATAGAAGTTTGGCTTTGAAAGAAACAAAAAAATCAGTAAATGTTTCTTTAAGATAACAGACACTTGGCATATTAACATATCGGAAGTCAGCAAGGGGTGATCATACAAAGAACTGGAGCGAAATTGAATGAAGCAAGGGTCTCAGAAGGAGGTGAGAATGGTGTTCAAAGATAGGAGAAGCAAATGTCTCTTTCATGCTGAGGGCAGTAGGAAGCTATAGATGCAGGTAAACTTTTATCTAAGCAGGAAATTGAAGGAGCTCATGCTTAGTTTCAGTTTTCTATATAAAGTAAGAAGCAAAAGCATTTGCAGAAGAGGGTGCAGTGTACCATATAATTGCCATTACCATCAAGCATCAAATTTTTATTTTAACTTTCAATTATAGGAGTTAAATATCTAAACTAATAATCTAAATGGCCTCAAGAATATTTTTTCTAGTTTTTTTGTTTCTTATTTTCTGAATATATTTTTATTAATTTCAGAGAGGAAGGGAGAGGGAGAGAGTGATAGAAACATCAGTGATGAAAATGGAGATACCAGGAGCCCCTGACCCCAGGCATGTGCCCCTGACCAGAATCGAACCTGGTACCTTCAGTCCACAGGCTGACCCTCTATCCGCTGAGCCAAATTCTCAAGGCATATTTTTCTGGTTTTATATTGTACTAGAGGCCCAGTGCATGAAATTGTGCACTCGGGGGTTCCCTCACTCTGGCCTGTGCCCTCTCACAGTCCAGAAGCCCTCAGGGTATAGCCAACTGATGACTTAGGCCTGCTCCTGTGGCAGTCAGACATCCTTAGTGCTACTGAGAGGCTCCTGTCCACCACCGCTGCCTTCGCCAGGCATGAGCCTGGCTTCTGGCTGAGCAGTGCTCCCCTGTGGGAGCGCACTGACTGTGGGGGGTGAGGTGGAGGGGCAGCTCCTACATTGAGCATCTGCACCCTGGTGGTCAGTGCACATCATAGCAACAAGTCATTCTGCCGTTCTGTCAATTTGTATATTACCCTTGTATTATATTGGATAATAAGACATTTGGTAGGTGAATGAGTTAGAGTAGATGCCAAGCTTCTAAAACAAAGAAACATGGATCTAGAAATTAGGAGCCTGGATTCTGACTAGGACTCATTCCACTCCATCTGCTTCCTCTCAGAAATAATAGGTGGTCTTTGTAGATGTCTCATTGCAGCATCCACAGCTCCCGAGTTTATTCCCTGGGATCTCAGTATTATAATGACTACTGTTAAAATGCCTGTGACAGACAGTGAATACTCACAAAGTTGGAATTAAGTAATTTTAGAAACGTAGCTGTGAATCTCTTTTCCTTCTAATTACTTCAGTCAGGTGCACTTGCAGGTTGTAAGTATCTGAAGTCACTTCTGCTTTGTACAATGAAGAGACTTAAGTGTAGCCCTACTTTATGTTCTTTTCAAATGATTATTTCATAGATGAGTATAATCAAATGATTATAAAGAAGTGATAATATTGTTAGCCTTGTTTTCACTTAGTTAAGAGGTTAGAAAGTATAAATATATAAATATGTATGGGAGGGGGGGCAATGTTAAAATATGTACACAGATAACAATTTAATAAACCATTTCTTATTTTTATGGAGAGTTTTTATCTAGGGGTTTTCCATTCATATAGTAAAATAACTCATACAAACACTGGCAGAGACAAAGGCATGAGGAAAATCCATGTTTAACTTTCCTCAGTTATGTGGAAACAATCTCAAGTATGTGTCTATAATCTGCCTGTCCTTTTAATTCAGTATCTCAGTGAATGAGATCCCACAGTGACTTGAGTTTATGGCTCATATGTGCTGCTGTGTCTTCGTTCCAGACGTTCGATGAATGTGTAGCGGAGGGCGGCTCAGACTGTGCTCCTGAGAAGCTCTGGCTTCAAATCCCATTCTTCTGCGGCCACAGCTCGGAATGCTGGTAGGGAGATCAAGTTGGCTTACATTTTAAACTTCCTCATTTCTCTATAATCGGTATTTCACAAAAGTGAATGTGTTAGTCAAGGGTAAGATATAAGGAATTAATGAAAGTCCAGACTAAAAATAACACTCGATTAAGTAATACTTCATCTTGTGATTATCTTTAAGTGCATTAGAAAGATTCTTCATGCATAAATATCCTTGAACTGTTTCCTCAGATGCTATTTTCTTTTTTTAAATGTTTTGTTAGTTTTTAGTGTTACATGTTTTGCTGTATTCCAGCAGAACTCTTAATTGGAGGTCAGAGATCATTTCATAAACCTCATTTCCCCCCAAGCTTACTCTTTTGGCCATTCATGTTAGATTAAGTAGAACTTTTGTCCCAGTGGGTAAATTATTCACCAGGCCTCACTGTTAAACTGGTTTTGACTTGGAGAGACTGTTATGGTTGTGGTTTAGTCTGCTAATAAACATGAGGTGGAAAATAAAAATATTTTATCTTTTATAAAGAGTTTATTTCCTTGGATGTGCTGAGTTTTCAGTTTTTGAAAATAATAGTATGTCTTTCTTCACTTGACCTAATCAATCATTTTAATAGAAAAAGTTGAAAAAACAGGAACACATTGAAAGTAACTTTCTTAAAACCACAATGAGGTTCAAGGAACGCCTTCTGTTCTTTTCTTCATTGTTTGAAATATATTATTTGGTAACTGTGAAATTAAAAGTCCTACACAATGGATTATATCAAAGTATAATAATAGCTTAAGAAGAATTGAAGGCATAGGAAGAATGTGTTAGTTTTTAATCATTTTTGTAGAACAGAGGATTGGCAAATTGCAATTTGAAGACCAAATTTGACTCATCACCTGTTTTTTATAAAGTTTTATTGGAACAAGCCACATTCATTTGTTTACTTAATCTCTATGACTGTTTTCGTGCTGCAAGAGCAGAATTAAGTAACTCTGAACCAAGACCATATGACCTGCAAAACCCAAGGTATTTCTTCTCTGGCCTTTTATAGAAACTGTGTCAACCTCCATCTTCAGACAATGAAAAGTATTGCTCTGTTGGGGGTTATTGAGGAGATTTTAATTAAGCTTCTTAAGTATGTTTTACAGATTCATAGGACCTCTCAGTTCTATGATTCTGTAAAACATACTTAGTAAGCTCAATTAACTCATTTATTCTTCCCTACACCTCACCACTACTTTTTAATGACTGAAAAGACAAAGTTAGAGAGGTAAAGTCACCAGCTGAGGTGCATAGTTTACTTAGAGCCAACCTATTAAGAGCCATTAGCGGACGATGTAAAAAATAAAAGGTTCCTGGCTGGACCATTTCTTATCTTACTTCTGCTCCTCAGAAATGATGGAAAAACCTAGCTCACAAATTAAATTAAGATAAACACTAAACACAAAGTGCTTAGACCTTATTAGTTAGCTTTTAAAATGAACAATTAAGTGCACACTAAATCAGATAAGAGAAATATATGTGTTGTGTATACATTTTTAACTGTCCTCAAACTAAATTTTGTTATATAATATTAAACTAACTGTAAAGTCTGAGTTTGCACTGCATAGTTGAGCAGAAACTGGGGGTAGGGGTAAAGAAAATTAAAAACGTGTGCCTCTTAAAGGACATTGATAAAAGTGGTAAGGCTTTGGAGGGACATGTGTTTATCGATTTTTCCTATAATATACAGTGGCAAAGGCATCAAATATACTTAGCAGATTGAACAACCAGGTTCTTAATTTCTTTTATTGGTTTTAGGAATGTGGGAAGCAGGTGGGCTATGGATCAAGCCAAGTATAACCTAGTTAATGAATACTTTCTGGTGGGAGTTACTGAAGAGCTCGAAGATTTTATCATGTTACTGGAAGCAGCTTTGCCCAGGTTCTTCAGGGGTGCTGCAGACCTCTATCGTACAGGTATATAAACGATGGGTTTCTTTCAAAAGCTGTCCTCAACTCTCTTCATTTGCAAATTGAGTAATCTGTGCGATTTGAAGTTTCTTAAGGAACTTGTCTGTTACTCAAGGTAAATTGTCTGTTTCTCCTCAACATTTTCAATACAAAACAATTCCTGGCACACAGATGGTGTTCGGTAAATATTTTTTGAATGAATGAACATCTAACTAGGTGATAATTAGAAGGCATTGTAGGAAAGATACAAACTACAGAACCAATCTCAGAAATGTGTAATATTTTATAATTCCGATACCAAACATTATGACTGTGTTCCACCCTCAGACCTACTAACGCCATCTAGAGCAGAGGCAGGACAGTAGAGCGCAGTCACTTTCATGATGGTCATCATCTGCTGTGGCTGTCACACCCTCCTGAGAGGGGCTTCACCGCCTCGGCAGTAGCTCCTGTCTGAAAGTGACAGTCCAGTCTTCCTTAGGTGGTTCTGTGTCTTTGTTCATGGTTATTTTGCCATTCTCTGATAAGATACAGTCAGAGGAGGTCTTTTTCTAAGATATTCATATGTCCTTGTTTCTAACGTAGAATTATATGGAGTAAAGGTAATGAGAAATTAGTATTAAGGTTGAAATAGATATTTTACCCTCTTTTCAAAATTGAACTAGTCAGAGCACTTGAGAGTACGGCATATATTGTTACAGCCTTCACTGATGGACAGTCCTTGCTTTTACTATTTTGACAGCCTAGACTTTCACTGGTTAAGGATTTACATTGAAAGGAATAAACCACAGTTTCAGTAGGAGTAGGGCACTGGCTTTTGCCCCGGTGATAATAATACAAAACAGTTGTTGCCTGTCCTTCCCTGTTAACGTAAACCACCTCTTCGAATGAAGAGGCATTGATCTTTTGTGTGTTCTCAGAATTATTTACCTTTTCTCTTTTTCCTTTATAAGTAGGAAAGAAATCTCATCTTAGGAAAACCACAGAGAAGAAACTCCCCACTAAACAAACCATTGCAAAACTACAGCAGTCTGACATTTGGAAAATGGAGAATGAGTTCTATGAATTTGCACTAGAGCAGTTCCAATTCATCAGAGCCCACGCCGTCCGAGAAAAAGATGGAGACCTCTACATCCTCGCACAAAACTTTTTCTATGAAAAGATTTACCCTAAATCAAACTGAGTACAAGGTGTGACTATTTGATTTTTCAACTAAAACTCTGACCCTGTCTTCACCTTAGTTCTCAGGTCCACAGTTCATATTGAGCCGAGTTAGGAAACAAACAAAAAGATCAAGGAAAGTAGATGCTAGCTGGTTCTGTCAGTGGTTGAAGAAGTTTAAGTTTCTGCCTTTTTTTTTTCCCCCCTAGTTAAATTTTGGTGGGAGTTATAACCTCCTGCCTGGGAAAAACCTATATGTTGCTTAAAATAAACACATAGCAGTTCTAATCAAAAGGCTAAATACAATTTTAGAAAAAATTCTGATACTCTGTTTTTTGATAAAGCTTTGTTTTGTTTTGTTTTGTTTTGTTTTGTTTCAACTAACCATGAATGAAGACCAATCCATTTCCTCCTCTGCCTTCACCCAGAGGGTTGGTTATGCAGCTGCACTGAGTAGCGTTGCTACCGGTGGGCAGGGTGCGCTTTGTTCCTGTGAGTCACGTCTCACAAAACGTGTTGGGATGCATGGTCATGTTTGCTAGGGAGTGTCTCTGCTGTAGATGGAATTGCCCATATTCATGTAGGTCATGTTTATTTCCTTTAAAAAAATAACTGTCATTAGTGTTAAGAACCAATTCAAACTATGACTAATACTGTAAAAAGAGTCAAAACCTTGTTTCTCATTCCTGTCTCTCCAGCATCTAAGATTGGGGAGACACTACAGAGAACGTTGAAATTTTAGTTAAGGCTTCCACACATTAATATATATATATAAAAAGTAAGTTTAGTGTTTGTTTCTCTGGGTTATCTGTAAAGCTGTCAACAGGTACTGGTGACTCCATATTATAACTCCATTTAGTGAGCTGTGGTATGGGTAGGGTTTTCCTACTTCTGTACTTTTACTTGTAAACTATTTTTACTACGGTGCTTTATAATGTGTTTTAAAGCATTGCATTTACAAAAAAAGGAAAAAAAAAAAGGAAAATGCTGTAAATATTGCATATTTTATGTATTTGGACCAAAAGGTTAAAAGTAATTAGACAAAAGTGGTTTTGCACCAATTTTATTATGTCAAGTAAAACCATCAGACCTACTGTTCTTGTATTTCTCACTTACCTTTAAGATATCACTGAAATTAACCCTAATAACCTTTCGATTTTGATACACAGTACACTGTTCAGAATTGGAGGCAGTAAGTTATAAGTGGAAAGAGTCCTAGACAAGGAGTCAGAAAACTTGATTCCTGGTCCTGGCTCTGCCACTTTTCAGCTGTGTGATCTTGGGTGAGTCGCTTAACCTCTTTGCCTCAATGTTCTCATCTCGAAATGAGAGTAGTAATACCTGCTGTACCTACCTCGCAGGGGTGTTGTGAGGATTAAATGAGATGGCATGTGAAAGCACTTTGAAATTGTAACGTGCTCTATAAATGTAAGGTATTATGGAAACATCTTTAACAAATAGTTTCATACTTTTTAAAAAAAAAAAAGAAAGGGAAAGCCCACTTACAAGCTGGTTGAAAAAAATTAATCTTCATATAAGTTTGTGTTTGATAAATCTCTTCTCAGTGTTTTATCTCCCCTGTTTCAACTATTGGAATATGAAGCACCTGTGAATTCTTAACAATTCTTGAGCAGCTGCTTGGGTTCAGGAGGTTCCCTGTTTGAAAAAGTCTTCATTAGTTGACTCAGGACAGGGAAGATTTGTTCTTCAAATTTGGCAGAACTTTCTGTTCTTATTTTACATTACCATTCAGAAGTGGTAGCTATTTTATACCTCTAGTTTTTAAGGTATATTTTGCAGAGTTTCATTTTCCTGGGTGTTCTTTACCTTCTTTACCTTTTTAGAGTGACAGAGGTAAAGAAATTTAGAAACATTTTTCTAAAAGAATAATCTTTAGTATGTATAGTTTAAATAAATATTCCCAAACAAAGCCTCAACAAACTATGTAAGGATTGTAGGCAGGTTGCTTTCAAGGTTATTAATTACATGGGAGGCCAGGAGCAAACATTACTTATCCAAAAACATTTACTAACAAATTTAAAGAAGAGGAAGTTAACAGAATAATTTTCATACCCTTTCCCCCCAGTAATAGGAAAATATTGAGAGAACATTGACAGGCGTACTTTTCTTATTTGGCTTTCTTTTTTTTTTTTTTTAAATATATTTCATTGATTTTTCACAGAGAGGAAGAGAGAGGGATAGAGAGTTAGAAACATCGATGAGAGAGAATCATCAATCAGCCGCCTCTTGCACACCCCCTATTGGGGATGTGCCCGCAACCAAGGTACATGCCCTTGACCGGAATTGAACCCGGGACCTTTCAGTCCGCAGGCCAACGCTCTATCCACTGAGCCAAACCGGTCCCGGCTTATTTGGCTTTCTTTATTTTTGTGTGTATTAATGTTTACAGATATTTGTTAAAAATATATATACATTATTTCCTTGCCCCAGAGGAAAGCGCCATTTCCAGGTGGGGTGTTTGACATTTACCTGCTAAGGAGCCCCAGTTGGTCATTCTTGGAGTACATGCTGCGAGCTCCCCAATGTGCATTCACTCTTCATTTAACCGGAGTTGCACGTAGTGCACTAGGTGAGGGAGTCAGTCAGCTTTCTCTATAAAGTTCCAGAGAATAAATTTTTGAAGTTTTGCAGGCCATGTGGTCTCTGTCTCAACTATTCAACCCTGCCAGTTAACACAAAAGCACCCTCAGACAATACATAAACAGATGAGATGGGTAACTTCCAATAAAACATTCTTACAAAAACAGGTGACATGCCCAGGGGTTGTAGTTTACCAACCCCCAAAATAGATGGTTATTTATGGAGGAATCATTTTTGAATCTGTACTCTAGTGGCCTAAAAGAGTTTATATACTTTGAGAAGCTCCTAACTTATATCCAAAGAATAGCTTTCTGATTCAGGCAGTCTCTCCCACAGATGCATAAACTTCTATGACTTCGATTGCTTCCAGGTAGGCATGTTTTCTTCCCCAGTGTAACAGTTCAGCATAGGGGCTTACTCCATCGTCTTTTAGGGTGGGTTAGGGTTATCTTTCCTGGAGACCGAGAAGGGGTCAGATTTAATTCCATCTGGTCCAATATAGCCCCAGGAGTCTGATAAGCGCAGAGTCCTTATAATACTTAACTTTATAGCAAATATATAGAACCACTGAGACAATAATGTATTTTTTTAAAATGGCAAATGTGGTTTTCTTTTTTTAGCCTTTGTGCTTTTTCAGTATTTTGATCATAGGGAAAATTTTTTTTAACGATGCAAAAGCAAATCAACCAGTTTGAATTTTAAAAGATAATGTTATGTGTGTGTGTGTGTGTGTGTGTGTGTGTATCTATCTATATATGTTTATTTCCCAAAAGAGGAAAAAGTACCTTTTTGTTCAACTTGTATCAACTCCTGTTTTATAATTGCTGTGAAATGGCAACTGTTGATAAATTATTGTGACTGTTTTCATGTAATGGAGAGGATATATTTTTATTTCACCCAGCTTTAATCTGTAAATTATCACTTAAATATATCCGATAGCAACCGTTAAGATATTGCATGGGGATTACTTTACTTTTCTATCATCCATACTCATTTGTGCAACTTTGAATATATTGGGTACTTCTAAATTCCTGATGATTTGGTTTAAATTTTTGAAAATTGGAGAACTTGAACCTACTGACTTCTAAAGTTTAAATTTTATTTCCTATTCTTAAAACTCAGTTAATGTCTACAATTTGAAATCTACTGTTGTTCTTTCTCTATATATGTCCTATTGAAAATTCCTAAAATTGTTAGTGCCATCAGTGATTTACAAACAGTATTTTGATATTGCAGATGATTTGCTCATTGTATTTGCATAGTTAGAAAGAAAATAGTTTGTAGACAATGATTCTCTCTTTTTCTAATAAAATGAAATAAAAATTCTAAAAGCACTGGAGATTTAACTAAAGGCTGGTTCCCAAATGCATAGCTGGTATTTTAATTTATATTTAGATTCCACATGGAGAACATCTGTGTAAACCATGGTATTTGGGTTTTCCCAGGGATCATTGTCAAACACACATCTACAGTCCTCGAATCCTTAATTCTGAGAAGCATCCGGCACTGTAACCTTTTAGGAAGTTTGTCTTTAAAGAGAGGTGCAGGTGGTACTTCTAATTTATGATTTGAAAACTTGCCTCTTCATAAATTACAGCTATTTAGTCTGAGAGGAAGCGGGGCCATTGTGTTAAATTTTGCATCCATTTACCCTGTGCGGAGTTGCTGTCTGCTGCCAGCTAAACTGCTGCTCAGTCACCCTTCGGAGGGGAACGCAGCTCTGTGTCAGCTGCACTGCCAAGTCAGCGCCTCTGGAGTGGGGCTGCTTTCTGACTTCCTGGAGTGGGAATCTGACGGATGGAAATGGGTGCTCAGTCAGATTTATCCTATAATTTAAGTTCATGCAGCTTTGTGACCTTTGCAGTACTATTTGTAAAAGGGCCCCATGGCGATGATCTCTTCAAAACACACCGCTAGGTAAGCCTGTGATTTAGACACAGGTGCTGTCTGTCTGATTTCATAGAAGCTTCTGTAGCTTTCTATTGAGAGGTCTGTGAGCATCTCTAAAGCAGTGTCGAATGTAATTTTGAGAAGCAGGGATTGTGTGTGTTGATTCTTAGTTTATAAATACGCAGACAGCTGAATAGTGCCTTTCCTTCCTCACAATCCACGTTGGAAGATGCTCACTCCTTGCTTTCTCTGCTCTCTCTCCCTGCCCTCCTCCTTCCTCCATTCAGTTGATTCATTTATGCAATACTGCTTCCCACGTGAAACCATTTTGTCACATCTGCTGGGGAGATAATCACTCCTTTTCCTTAACATTCTGCCAGCTTTCTGTTGTTGAAGTGTTTCAGTTGATTACCTGGAGCAAAAGCTATAAAATAAACACTCAGCGGGAAAGGGGAAAGCGTTTTGGTGTCCTGTGTTAATATTGTCCTCGGTAGCCTGGATGCTGGCAGACCTTTCCAAGCGGATCAGTGTCATCAGCCTCACTCTCAGAAATCACTGCCACCAGAGAGGCATCGAGCTTGTGTTTGACAATCTTTTACCTGGAGGGCTATGCCTGTGCTACTGTTTGCTTTGTACTTCATCACTGGTATTGAAGTTCCAGGTAGGAAATTTACAAGGTAGACTGGGGATATACACTTATTTAGAAGAAAAAAGGAAGTAAGGAAAGGGCTGACAACGTAGAATAAAAAGGAAATATGAAAGAAAAAAGTCTGATTAATATTTATTGCATCGTTTTGGACAATATCCATAATGTTTCTTTGAGAATACACATTTCTTTCTAATGATAACGTTTTTTTCACCCTTAAAGGAGAAACTCTCAATTACATAGATTCCCAATTCCCAGCTACAGGCTCATTGTTTGAGCAAGTAATTGACTCTTTTTGTATGATATTAGAGGCCCAAATCACGAAGATTTGTGCAAGAATGGGCCTTCTTTCCCCTGACTGCCAGCACCATTTTTGCTCCAGCCAGAGTGGCCTTTTCTCTCCCACCCAGAGTCATCTTTCTGCCTTCCCAGGCTGCCCAGAGGTCCAGAGTGGCTGGGGCAGTGCGGAACACCTGTATGGTCTGTGTCATCACCATGGCAATGACACGTGTTCCATTCCACCCCTGGTCACTTGGGCACCTATGTATGCAAATTAACCCACCATCTTTGTTGGATTAATTTGCATACACCTGATTGACTGGTGGGTGTCACGAAGGTATGGTCAATTGCGTCTTACTCTTTTATTAGTGTAGACTAGAGGCCCGGTGCACGAATTCGTGCATGGGTGGAATCCTGCCAGTCACCTCTGATGGGTGCCCATTGGGCTGGGCCAGTGGGGAAAGGGGCTGCAGGTGGTTGGCAGCCAGCCCTGCCCCCAATTGGGGTGTTGGGGCCAATTAAGGGGCAATCAGGGCCTGGATCAGGCTGGTTGGCTACTGCAGTAAACATCAGAGCAACTGGTTCTGGTCATTCTGCTGTTCTGATTGCTGAGCTTTTATATATATAGATTGGGTTGAATTAAATACCAGTTCAATGATAAGTTTTCTAAACAGAGAA